ATTCTTAAACTATCGGATTGAATTTATATTTAAGTTTTTTTTACTTTAACATGAAAAAAGAGGAAAATTGTTTTCTTGGCCCTACTTTTTTTTTTCCTTTCTTTCTTTTTCAGTAAATTATGCGTTTACATTCCCGGGAAAGTAATATTATGCACATGAAAAGTGCATTACTTTTAACACTGTGTTTTCTTTCTCTCGTACACGAGTTACGATCGATAGAAGTTTCGATCCGTTGTATATAAACACGATTAATGATGTGTTATGCAAACGTCTAAACTTTCGTCGAAATAAATATATGCGAGCACAAATTATTAGTAACTCGCATGATAATCAGATTAACGATTGAAAGAGTTAACCAAACGAATGATATAATTGATACTTTATTAAATATTCTTTGAATTTCGAAAACTCGTATTTTACGCGAAAAAAAAAAAAAAAGGAAAAAAGAAAGAAAAACGTTCCAATCGTCGAGAGATCAGATTTTCATCGAATTCTTTTTTTCTTTCCTTCCCGTTTAGATGGAGATCCGATAAAACTTCCGGAGAATTTGGAGACCTTGCCACGAGCTGAACATTTTCCAACTCAGAGGCACCGATGGAACACCAACGAGGTGAGTTTGAAAGCGATTATTTTTAACTGGAAATTCTATAAAACGTTCTGTCTGCTACTTCAACTTCTCCTCGATTAAGGGAAGAGAGAGAGAGCGAGAGAAAAAATGAGAAATAGAGAGAGAGAGAGAGAGAGAACGAAAAGACTGTACACGAGCGTAGAAAAATTCAAATGGGAACGGGTACGCGAGTGAAAAAAAAGAAGAAAAAAAAAAAAAAAGAAAAGAAAGGAAAGCAGGTTAGAAAAAGTAATGTCTCGGTCGAATTCCAACAAAAGAGCATACAGTTTTCTAGCAGCACCAACTGGATATACATTTACACGGCATTTCAGTAGGCAACTGGAAAGTAAATAGCGACGTCGCAACGCCGTTGGTGGCTCGTACGTAGCGTCGGTGGTTAGAGAGGATAGATGCTGTCCGTCCGTGTGCAAGCTCGCATCGGTGTGCAGGAGTGCACATACCAACACGTGGAGCACCCTGCACTCGTAGGTGTACCGATGTAGTCCACTGCTACTCTGACCCCGGTCGGCCCCCGATCAATAGCTGGAGCCAGCTAGAGAGCTCAGCCGAGCCGAGTTGAGTTGAGTTTTCAGTTCCGTCGAGTCGAACCGAATTGCGAGCCTATGCTTGCCCCGTTCCTATCCTTTGTCGATGATAACTCTCTTTTCATCCGTTTTTTCCTCCCTCCCCTTTCCCCTCCCTCCTTCCTTTTGTGGTTTTTCATTTTTCCTACCCTCTTTCACAGACCTATCTTTTAAACATCGTCGAAAAAAAAAAAAAAAAAAAAAAGAAGGAAGAAAGTAAGGGATATCGATTATTCCAGAATTATCCTCTTTTTTATATCGTTGCTAAGATTAATCTCGCGAACCAGGGGAAATTTCTCCGGCCAATCCCGTCCCGGATTTCCCTCTGTTTCAAAAGTTTGATTTGTTTTTCTTCAAAACTTACTACCTTTAACCGATCGTGATCGAGGATCCACGTTGAACTATTCAACTTGCCTCTTGTTTCGTTTATCTATCGCTGTGTGTAATATGCATTGCTAATCGGGTCAACTCGAGCGCTGCTCGTTTATGCACGTTCTTCGTCTATCGTCTAAATTTTGACGTAATTTTGACGTGGAATTATCGGTATCATAAATATGAATGAAGCCTCTATTATCCGCTTCTTAGAACTTCGCACAGAGTATTCCTATTAATATTACGTCAATTCATTTTTCTTCCCTTTATTTTCTTCTTCTTCTTCTTCTTCTTCTTTTTTTTTTTTTTTTTTTTTTTTTTTCACTTATCTCGAAGAAACCGCGGAACGGATGAAAGGCCGGCGCATTAGGGATTCATGCTCGCGAAACTATTCATAGGATGAAGTTCTTAGGAAGTTAACGGAGCAACTTTTTGTACCGCGAGAAAGTTTAAAAGCTCGTGTATGCAGTCGAAATCCTTTGCTAGGGATTCGCATCCCTCGCCGTGATCTTGTTTTCTTGCCTGCCCCTTTCTTTCCCTCCCCCCTTTAACTTCCCTCGACACGGTACAGCTCTTCGTTCCACGCCATTTCTCTCCTCTGACAGCGTATACGAGCACGTCGTCATCCGACTTTTTGAATTGTCCCATCTTTCACGGAACACGTGAAAATCCCGCGAATAAAATATTCCACGGCGAGATAAATGGAGTGCGGTAAAGTTTCAGCCCACTTTTGATTGCGCCCTATGCCTCGGCAGGGTTTAACTAACCGACGGGTCAACTCTAACTTTGGGAATGGAAATTCGGTTTATTCGATTGACGTAGCAAAGAGTCCATTGTTCAGACCGGTTGTGCTGCCGGGACTGAATTTTTATTGACTCGTTGCCAAATTCTAAGTTGTTATTGGAGACAGGTCGCAATCAAGTCTAAACTTCAAACGGGCACAAAGTAGCTCGATGTGTTCTCTGTTCTGTACCGAACCGAATCAATTTCGTTCCCGGTGGTGGAATTCTTCCGTCCAAACTTTTCCTATTAACTTTTTTAATAGCCTCGATTATACGAAGCTAAAATTTATTGCCCAGAAAAAAAGAAGAAGAAGAAGAAACAAAAAAAGAAAAAAGAAGGGAAAAAAGGATGTGTGTAGCCTCAGGTTGCTTTATCGATTATTCCCTTCCAACAACGCCTCCGTTGCTTTTTCGTATTCCTGTTTTCCTTTCTCATCGCGAATCGATGCTTGATAACTTCCCAAGATCTCTGTCTCTGATTCTTCCTCCCTTTACCATCGTTGCCTGATCGAATCCCATTTGTAACAAGACACAACGGCGAATATATTCAGCTAGTGAAATTATAGTAATAATTTTTACCACATACCTAGGAAAAGCATATCATTTGTTTTGCACTTTTAAGTAATGAGGCTTAATCACGTTGATTTATTAAACCGGCCATAGTGGCCCAAATAATTTGAAAATTCCGGGACACGTAATAGTACGTGGATCTCCGTAAATTTTATCTTTAAATCGGGATGTCGACGATTGTTCCATTTACGTGTGCGATTTTCTACGTGAATTACGAAAAAATTGAATTATTTTTTTTTTTTTATTATCTTAGTTGGCGTGGCCCGTATAAAGAAACCGTGACATTTTGAAATATTCAATTGGACTTTTTTTTAATTTTTTTACCGATCGATACCGGTCCCCTTCGTCAAATTTCTGCGATAACGTTTCATTTAATTGATGAGCATACGAAACCGCACGACCTATCTGTAAGCGGAAATCGATCCGAAAACAATGTTTCTGTTTGCTTATTGATTTCCGATTGCAGCGCAGTATAAATGCATTGAATAGCTACAGTTTACCTGGGCATACAATGACAGTCGACGCAATTAAACGTTAGTTTGCACTGTCAGTAATGCAATTTCCGATTGCACCGTTTTTCAGCAAAATTGTATTTGGATGTAACACCGAAATTGATTTCGGCAAACAGGACTATTATTATTGTACGGTCAACATTTGCTTATTTCTGACTCCGTACGTTTGCCGATTTCCAATGCATTCCGTCTCAATTAAGAAAAATTATTTCTATCGATCGATCCTCGATCGTTGTTGTTACCATCGAATACACTTTTGATTCGAAACGTCGATCGAAATTGGTTAATTTTTTCTTGCAACGACGAAGCAACCAGTGTATGTGGGTCGCATCGATTGCAATTTCTCAGATGGATTTCACTTCAAACCTTTTGCATTTTGAATCAAACGATTTTGTGGTTTCAAGAAAATCCAATTTCCAAGAGTACGATTTTATCGAAATTACATTTCTCCAAGCTTTTTAAATTTAGAAACCACGATTCTTCAACGATTAATTAATTCTTAAAGTTTCGCTTAATATTTATTGGTTTCTTTTTTTAAAAGATGTTTAAGAATCTGTATTTAACGTCGTCGATTATTAAAATTATTCCTTTACATTTCTTAAAAAAAAAAACTTGCAAGCATGTTTTGATATCGTTGAACGAAAGTTTTCGGCTCGATGTTGACGTTTTTATGTCGCGTGCTCTTGTCGCTTCCCCTTGTCTGAGCAAATACCGACATATACCACTGACAGCGACTTCGAACTTGCAAGCCATTCCGAAGTGATGTTTATCTCTTCATAAAGTGGCTTTTTACGTACGAAAAACTTGCGAAATATTTATGTACTCGCGACGAAAATTTGTCTGTCAAGTTGCACAAGTTAGATTCCACTGTTTGCCGACGACGAATGTCACCGGCTGCGCATCGTTCGACGCACGTTGAACACGGAAGTTTCTGTTTCTGCCTGTACCCTAGTTTCACAGTTTATCCTTCTCTTTTATCGATTATCAATCGGCGATAAAATTCCTTCGGATACGTATTCGTAAAATACGAAGAAAGGATTGGAAGGACGTTGCATCTTCGTTTCGGGTGTCGGAAGGAGGGTCGATTTATCGGTCCTTTTGCATTCGTAAATCAAGGAGAATACATCCTTTCCGGTAACACGTGGGACAGAAGGCGTCTCGTTTACGTATCCGCTAAACCGAATACAGGAATCTATGGGCTCTTTCATCGTATCTTGAAAGATCTATAGATCGGTCTCGGTTCAAAGAGTACGCCGACTGACCTTCTTCGCTTTTGCTTATGTGGATTACGAAACAGAACTTGGACGCGAGACGCGTTTGAGGATGCAAAGAGAGAGAGAGAAAGAGAGAGAGAAAGAAAAAGAAGAGGAAAAAAACGGAGAGTTTGAATATTATTACAGATACGCAATTACAGGTAGTATCACGGGTAAAAATTTTTGTGAATCTGACTGGCGTTGCATGGTAGCCGACCTTGCACGCAACATAACGATATGCACTGTCAGACGCCGTCTTTCAAGTTAAACTATTCTCTCCACGTTGCCTGACCCATTTCACGTCTGGCACGTTGCAAAATATGGTAAACGCATAGAAAATCAATTTACGTGGGCGCCTCGCGTGAAGAAGATTTCGTGGGGAAAGCTTTGATTCCGTATATCGATAAAAATAAGATACCGGGTTTATTATTAATTATGCTGGATGCGTAATCCTGTGCTCGTCTCTTACGTAACCCGTTATCGCGAAAATAGATTTGAAAGAGATTCGAGTGAAATGAAAAATGGGCATCGATCGTACGATGCATCCAACCCCCTCTTGATCCCACTTGACCTTTTCTGCGATTGATCAGCAGGCTGTGAGTAATTATAGGCAAAAGGGATGGGAAATTCCGCGTAAACTCGCGGCGAAAATCGGTGTTACGAATTCTCCCCCTCAGTTTCTTATTCTACGTATGGCCGAATATATAAATATATTCCCGACGGAATGCGATGAATGATCAATTAACCACTAGTAAATCAATGCAACATAGTGGAGCAAGCTTTATCTACCTTCTTCTACTTCGTCGACGCTTGGCTGGCCTAATGGTCGGTCTATGGCCGCCCTCTTATTCCGTTTTCCCCTCTCCACCCGGTACTCCAGTTACTCCCTACCCGTCCCGCTCTTTCTCGTCCATCCCTCGTTAAGAATATTTATATCCAGGCCACGTTCACTGGAGAACCTTTGGAAACTCGAAGGCCCACCCACGGGAACGGAGTGCAAAAGATATTAAGCACTCTGAACCATACTTTGCTCCTCTTTTTTTT